AAAAAAAGAATGTTTATATATTTTTTAGAAAGCTAAACAACAAGAAAATAATCTTGAAAAGAGGAAGAAGAAAAAATTAAAAAATAAAAGAGGATGTCTTAATCTTAATTGTATTTTTCAAGGGTTTTGGAGTTTGGAAGTGACAGAGAAAGGGGTGGTGGGGTTGGGATTATAAAGGCTAACTACCATATGCATGCACATGGTTGCATTACCCCCCTAACTTCATTGGTTGGTCTCTCACTAGATTTGGTGTTAGGCTTAGGTAATTTATTCCATTAAATGAACAAAATATTTCTTTCAATAAAATGCATATTTTAATTTTTTTTTTTAAAAAGTATAATATTTTGAAAAGGCAAAACATAGAATATGTTTTAACTAAGGGCTTCTTTATGAATTCATTTTTATGATATTTGTAAATTTCATTCTACTCGTGTAGGAAGTAGTACTCATGATCTGATGTACTGATACATACTATATATCTTATTAGGACTACAAACGAGTCGAGCAGCTCATGAGTCGTTCGTAAGCGCTCGAGTAGAAGTTCAACTCGAGCGGCTCGAGTATGATATCAAGTCGATCTTGAGTCCAAATTTTCAAATAAAGGTGGAGTCGCTCATCGTGCGGCACAAAATATGGAGTAAATAATTAAGTACCCTTTATATTTATGTAATTCACAAAATTGTCATCGGCGCATAATTTATAGCTGTTAAAATTCGAGTCAAACTCGAGTGGATCTCGAGCATCGAATTGATCTTGAGTGTCGTGTTGATCTTGAACATTTTCATTTGTTTCAAGAGTCGAGCTCGAGCGTCATTTTCATATGGATCGTCGAGTTTGAGCATTGAAAAAAAAAATATCTATGCTCGACAAGGTCCATGCTCGACTCGTTTGCAGACCTATATTTGATGGTTGCATAACAAAATTATATTTCATTAGATCAACAAATTTCTCTTGTTGGTCTTGACATTAGAGCTCACTAGAAATGTTTAAATATCCATCGTAGGCATATTAAGACATATTTACTAACTATGTGCTAAAATCTCGTAATAAACTTTGAATACTATATCCACTATGTATGGTAAGTTATAACTCTCCTGCCACATTAGTTGGTCTTACATTTTAATATGAAGAAAATTGCAATTTTAGTCCAGTAACTTAGGTTGTTTTCCATTTTAGTCCAGTAACTTGGACCGATCCAAAATTGGTCCAAAAACTTCTAAAATGTAGTTAAATTAGTCCAATTCCGGTCCCCGTCGCCGGAATCCGATCGGAATGTGCTGCATTGGCAATTTGGATTCCGGCGACGGGGACCGAAATTGGACTAATTTAACTACATTTTGGAAGTTTTTGGACCAATTTTGGATTGGCCCAAGTTACTGGACTAAAGTGGAAAACAGCCTAAGTTACTGGACTAAAATTGCAATTTTCTCTTTTAATATGTGCTTACTAGACATGCGAAAAGGCAGTTTGGGCTGGTTTCGGTTCCGGTTTGGAACCGTTGGTACACCTTCAATTTTCGGTTGAACTGGAACTGGCCCAACTGTTCAGGGTTGGTACGAGCCTAGATCGGAAAAATTAAACAAAAAATTCAAAAAATAAATAAATAATTAAAATTTGAAATTAGAATTTCGGTGCCGAATGGTCAGGTCGGTTCTAATTCTGGTTCAAATTTTCTTAAAAACATGAATCAGAGCCCGAACCAAACACCAGTATAAGTTCACACCCTTTGGCCAACGGTCTGCTCCGATTCTAAAGCCGTTGACTCCGGGCCAATTTGGCCGGTTCCGAACCGTTACCATAACTCGTGTTTACCATAGGTAGTTGTAGAATTATATACATGATATCTTCTTTTGAGGAAACAAAATTTAGAACGAAATATCATGGGAGATGCCAGACAAAACCTATCCAATATCATTTTTGGTAGAAGAAAATTGAGAACAGCTCGACTTTGTTTGTGCTGAGCTGTTCAGATCACTAGATTTGTACAAAACTAATATATAATTGGCGTGACAAAAAATTACATTTTTAGGTGATACTTATTTGAATATATATATTAGAATATCATACAATATATTCATAGTCCATAGCCCCGCGACTTATGGTTAAGGAAAATAGAATTAAAAGATTACATATAATTGTAAGCGCTGAAAATTTGATTATTCTTGAGTATAGCTGGGAGTCTATTATTTTTGGGGCGGACTAAAATAGCTTAGATTATCAATTAAACTTTACAGTATATATAATTATTAATAGTTATTAAAAATTGGATCTATCATATTTTAATTGGATTCTGGCGGCGATCCACGTGGTGGGAGAGGTGGTTATTGTGTCATTATTTTCGTTTTTTTGTCTCTAACTATTCTTAAACCCCACCATTAGTTATGTCGAACACAGGTTTTATGGAAAATTGTCCGATAATTTTTACATTTTTTATTTTGGGTCCACTAATATTATGGGTATTTTAATTTTTAATTTTGTACAAATAAACATCTTATGTTTTAAATTGAATTTTTCGTTGATTGTGAACACAAAATCTGAAATCGCAAAATGAGAAATAAATAGAGAAATTATATAGACAGGGAAATTATGTACATAATAAGATGNAGCCATTGGCCCTAAGATGTTATTCCTTAATTATGGATAATGGTTGAACAAAAAATGAATGTTTGAATTTATTGAACAGAAAACGACATAAAAATAAAAGTTAATGAAAAAAAAATAACATAAAAATTTGTTTATCAAAAGGACGAAAATGTTACAAAATTTAAATTCTCTATACTATATTAAAATCCTTTAAGAAATTATTCCCAACTCCATGGCTTTTTTAAATTATTTCATCTAATTTTAGTTAGCACTGTTTTGGTTGATTATGTCATGTGCTATGTAAGATTATGACTCGTGATGCTAAATAGCTAAAATGACAGGTCATGGAGTTTGTCACAAGTGGTATTAAATTAATCTTGACTTAATGGCCTAAATATTTGTTTGGGATATCTTCTCTCGTAGTGATGATTATTCGAAGAAATTAACGCATCGCCGAAATTCTCTATTTTTATTTCACGTTTTTTTAGTTAATTAATTAAATAATTATATTTGGCTGATTGTTTATATCTACTAGAATAAATGAACATGTATAAGTATGTAGACATTACAATCTAATATAATTGAAGTTAAATCATACCATATACAAACCGAGTAAACCATGAAGTGCGTTAAAAAAAAATATTGTGTACTAATACATGACATTATAAATAAATAAACACACACATAGATTTATATATTTAGATACATTATCTATACTTATATTAAAAGATATCCCATTTACCAGATTTAGTATAAAGAAAAGTCAAAGGTAATTAATGTTTACTGGAAATAGAATGACATTAATTACAGATTTGTTTTGGTATTTATAGCTTGACATTAAAGATTTGTTATGGGATAAAAATCAGAACCGATTTTTTTACCTTTGTTGGAAAAGTCAAATGTAAGTATAGATTTGTTTTATTCCATAACATCGGTTTAGTTAAAAAAATCTCATAAAAGCGATTTTAATGTCAAGCCTATAAATAAAGATTTAATCGGTTTTAGTAATTGAATAGAATTTCAAAGTTGTTATTTATTGTAAAAAAATTAAATTCTAAAAAAACATTTGTGTATATTTTCTAAAATGTTTGTACAAAATGTTTTACTTTAAATTTATTTACATAATTTAAATTAATTATATTAATAAATAATATGAACATACATTAAATATTTTAATTACATAAAACAAAAAAAAGAAGAAGATTACATCTATAACTTATAATAATAATGACATTATACTACAATAAATTTTATAATGAAATAATATAAGTATTATACGAGGAACAAGATTACGTAAAATTGTTATTTCTCTTATATCAATAAATAAATATATATAATGAAATCAAATTTATATTATTATAAACATGTGAGCGAGATAATATATTAATTAATTTACGGGCTAGCGCTACCAGACTCAGGTTTAATGTTTCGACAAAAAAATGACATTGATGAAAAGACGTAAAAAGATAGATGATCAAACTCTATTATTTTTTAGGTCTGAACGGACAAGCCCTATGATCCACTCATTTAATATCTCTCGTGAATCGCACGAACTACTTAAC